ACCCATCTCTGCACGCGGCCACCTGACAGCCGGTCCAGCCTCCAGTGCACCGCGCTGCTCACACGGGGCCCCTCCCGAGCTCAGCAGGCCCACCCGCTGCTGGCTGCTGGGCAGCCCCCCCGGGGAAGGCTCTCAGCATCCCAACGGCGACTGCGTGAAGACTCCAGGCCCTGAGGGAGCATGAGCTGGGCTTCCGGAAAGGAGAGAAAGAAAGGCGGCTGTGAGTTCCAAGCCCGGGGATAGGGAGGGAGAGGGACCGAGACCACGAGAGAGAAGACGGGGCATGCGGACCCTCGCAGGTCTGAGTGAGGACCGCGCGTTATTCCAAGGGGGGCTGCCGTTCCACGTGCCTGAAGAACTCTCCAGAGAGGTTCTGCCGGACTGCCGGCCTCCCGGGGCACGCGTGTGCGGCAGCCCCCTTCCCGGAATGCTACATGCCCGCGCATCACACGTGACCTCATCCGCTCCTGGTGGAACGCTACTTCCCGAGAGCCGACGCAGCACCCAGAACTGGTGAGCAAAAGGTATGAGGCACAGGCGGAGACATCTGTCCCAGCGCTATGGACTAACTGTGCTTCCCTCCTTCCGCCCGCCCCCCGATCCTCATGGAGAAGCCGGGATCCCAAGGACCTCAGAATGGGACGTATTTGGAGATGGGTCTTTGAAGAGCTGATTAAGGTAAAATGAGGTGATCAGGGAGGGCTCCACTCCCAGGGGACTGGTGTCCTCGTGAGGAGAGAGCAGGACACAGACACACACAGCGGGAACGGCCAGGGGAGGTCCCAGGGAGGGGCTGTACGTCGCAGAGAGAGGCCTCAGCAGGAGGCCAACCTGGCAACACCTTGGTCTCGGACTCTGACCCCCGCGACAAGATAAAATTCTGCTGCGGATGGCAAGCTGTGTCTGCCACTTTGTTACGGCCGCTGGAGCAGGCTGAGCAAACGGCGACCCCAGCTGTCGGGGTGCCCCGAGGCAGCGGGGAGATGGGTGCTGACCCTGGAAACGCAGTGGGAGCTGGTGGGCTAGGGGCAAGGTGCCGGGGCACCGGGGCTGCTGGGCGCGTTCCCTGAGCTCCATCACCAGCTGTCCTGCTCCCCACGGCCAGGCCCGAAGGGAGCCCATCGTCCCCGTCCAAGGCCCTGAAGCACCACGAGGCTTTTTACAAAAGCTGTGCATTGGCGTCTGCCCTTCCCACCTGCACTGCCAAGTCCTCTGCAGGCAGAACCTCTGTCCTGCTGGTCTCATAAGGAAAGGACACGGAATCTTGAACCCCATGAAAATATTCTCAGACTGCATGACCAAAGCATCTTATCTTCCTTTTGAATCCTCACCCCAGCGTATGCTTTTTACTGATTTTTAAAGAGAGAGGAAGGGAGAGAGAGAAAAAGATATCGATGTGTGAGAGAGAAAGAGAAACATCGATCCGTACGTGCCCCGACGAGGGATGAACCCACAACCTGCGCACGCATGTGCCGTCACCGGGAATTGAACCTGTAACCTTTTGGCGTACGGGGCGATGCTCCAACCAGCTGAGCCACCCAGCCAGGACCAAATAATCGTATCTTTTCGTGAGATCACTTTTTTATTGTGACTCTATTACAGTTGTCCCAGCTTACCTGCCCCCCACCCCTTGTCCTCCTCCACGCAGGCCCCGCCCCCTCAGTCCAGTCCCACTCTGACGTCCAGGTCCATGGGTCATTCATACATGGTCTTCGATTAGTTCCTTTCCCTTCTTCATTCTCCCCCTGCCCCCTCCCCTCTGGTCACGATCAGTCTGTTCTACGTTTCCATGCCTCTGGGTTTATTTTGTTCAGTAGTTTATTTTGTTGAATACATCCACTTACAGGTAAGATCCTATGGTACTTGTCTTTCACCGCCTGGCTTATCTCGCTTGGCATAATGCTCTCCAGTTCCACCCACGCTGTCGCGAAGGGTAAGAGCTCTTTCTTTCTTTCTGCCGCATGGTATTCCATTGGATAAATATACCACAGTTTGTTGACCCGCTCATTTACTGACGGGTACTTAGGCTGTTTCCAGCACTGGGCTATTGTAAATTGTGCTGCTATGAACACTGGGGTGCATAGGTTCTTGTCAATTGGTGTTTTGGGATTCTTAGGGTATAGTCCCAGCCATGGAATGGCTGGGTCATAAGGCAGTTGCATGTTCAGCTTTTTGAGGAAACTCCACACTGCTTTCCACAGCGGCTGCCCCAGTCTGCATTCCCGCCCACAGTGCACTAGGGGTCCCTTTTCTCCACAGCCTCGCCAGCACTTGTTGATTTTTTATGACAGCCATTCTGACCCGTGCGAAATACGATCTCATTGTGTCTTTTTTTTTTTTTAATTGTATGTATTTATTTTTAGAGGGTAAGGGAAAAAGAGAGGGAAAGAAACATTAATGTGTAGCTGCCTCTCATGGGCCTCCTACTGGGGACCTGGCCCACAACCCAGGCCTGTGCCCTGACTGGGAATTGAACTGGCGACCCTTTGGTTCGCTGGCTGGCACTCAATCCACTGAGCCACACGAGCCAGGGCTCACTGTGGTTTTAATTTGCATCTCTCTGATGGCTAGTGAAGCTGACCACCCTTGTCACGTGTCCCTGTGTGCACTGGATCAACAGGAAGTTCCATTTTTAATTTTCTAAGGCAATTCTATACCATTTTCTGCAGCGGCTGCCCCAGTCTGCATTCCCACCCACAACATACTAGGGTTCCCTTTTCTCCACAGCCTTGCCAGCACTTGCTGTTTGTTGATTTGTTAGTGATGGCCTTTCTGACCAGTGGGAAGTGGTATCTCATGGTGGCTTTAACTTGCATCTCCGTGATGGCTAGTGATATTGAGCATCTTTTCATTTGCCTCTGGGCCCTCTGTATGTCCTTCCTGGAGAAGTGTCTGTTCAGGTCCTATGCCTATTTTTTAACTAGACTGTTGGTCTTCCTGGTGTGGGGTCATATGAGTTCTTTATGTGTTTTGGAGATCCAACCCTCGTCCGATGTATCACTAGCAAACACGTTCTCCCATACGGTCGGTTCCCTTTTCATTTTGTTGATGGTTTCTTTAGCGCTGCAGAAGCTGTTTAATTTGATGCAGACCCATTTGTCGATTCCTTCCTTCACTTCCTTTGCCCAAATAATCTTATCTTAATGCTCTTCTCTCATCCCAACAAAGTACAACAAAACTTTTTATAATGACACACTGCGTGTCACATCTTCTATGTATCTAATTTACAGCCTTTATACAGACCTGCTTACGTTACTTTCAACTTATGTGAGATAATACTTGAGTATCTGAAATCTTTGTATTTATAGTTTGTTTTTTACTGCGAGTAAAAGATCGTCCTTTGCCTGAATTTTCATTTCTTTCACTATGAAATTTAATGTTTCCAGGGCACCATTTCTTGCCAACGCTTCAGAAAAGAAACCTTCTCTGAAAAAAGCTGGAAACCGCTTTCCAATGTGCCTATGCAGAATGTCCCTGAGGCTTGCCACGCTTTAAAAAACACCCACAATCCTGAAAATGACTGGGTTTGTAGCTCAAAAGCGGAACGCTCCTGGAGCTAATTTCGGCAGAGCAGCTGCACAGTCTGCCTGAAGACACGGCCACGATGCATGGAGCGCGCCCCCCCCCCCCGCCCTCTCGCCCCTGGCACCAGCGATAGAGCTGCTCACAACGCCCCAGAGAGACATCATGGCTGTGACCTGAAGGCCAAGCGCCGCAGGAGCCCTCCGCAGCTTCAGTTACACGCTCACGGCATGAGAGCAGAAGCCAAGCCAGGGCCGCGGGTGCAGGGCCCCCGAGCAGCCGCGGCAGCGCCCACGGCGCGCCCTCCCAGCACGGCCTGGGAGCGGGCCCTGAAGAGAGCCCAGCTGGCGCCCGGCTCTGACGCGCTGCGAACCCGCAGGAATAAAGCTATAATGGCGCTCTCCTCGCCCTCTGGAGGTGTACTGTGCCTCAGGCCTCCCCCCTCACCCGGGGCTTCGGGGTTGCAGCCGTGCACCACGCTCGGTCGCTCGCTCGCTTCCCGCACGCACACCCCCGGACCACCACGCTCACACGGACCCCCCTCGTGGGAGGCTGGGGCCCTCCGTTTCAAGGCGAATGAAGTCGAACCCCGTTCCATACACCTCTCAGAAGCTAACATTTTCCTTGGTTACTGCTGCACGGGAACCTGCAACTTGGAGGTTACTGCCTACACTGACTACCGCACCTGTGACCAGAGATTCTCCACGTGTGTGAAAAACGCGCACGCAGAAGTCCTAGTGCATATGTTTATTCCCACCCCTCCATCAAGACCTTTAAATAGGCTTATGCAACAGCTGCTGCAGGAACCTATCCTTTCTCCTCCGCTGTCCTCTGGTACGAAGGGCAAGACCACACTGTGTATTTAATGTGAGTTCCCTCCTCATGACAGTGAACAGCTCCGCCTGCAGCACTTCACAGTTGTGGCGCACGCCGCCCCTCACACCACCATCCACATTGTTACAGGTGCTCCAATCTTCCCTTGGGGAGCCAGTGGCCTTGAGGCCTCTGATAAAGCTCAAAACTAACTCATTCAGTGCGCCCCATTTAGAGAAGCTCGCCCTGTTCCTTTCAGACTGACAACCCTCGGAGGCAGCGCGGATTCGGAGACCGCGCCCCAGCAGCCCAGCTGGTACGCGGTTACGAACGCCCCCTTCCGCGGGCATCCTGGGTGAAAGCATCTCATTTGCCTGCTTGACGCTGGGTTTCTGCTGACAAAAAGAGCCTTCCTCCTGTCCAGAAAACACAGCAGCCATTTTCAGAACTAAAAATACCGCGATGGCATCAGAAGGCTTCGCCGCCCTGAGGACCCCTCCCTAGGCCGCCTGTGGGGTCGCAGCCGTGCCGAGACGTGGGGTGGGGGTCGGGCACCCGGGGACACTGGCATGTCCTGTTAGCAGCCCCTTTGGGTTTCCCCGTTAACCGTGAAGGAACCTACCCCCGCAAGCCTTCTGGATAACCCCCATCCCAAAGGCGCCTACCTTGGGGCGGGACACCGCTCCTCGGCCTGGGCTGCAGACACAGGTCTTCTCTGCGCACCAGGGTCCTCTGTGTGTCGCCGCGGCTCGAGGGGAGCTTCCTGTCAAGGGCAGCAGAGGAACGTACAAGTCACCAGGCTGCCTTCTTCAAGGCATCTGTTATTATGAACCCTGTCATTGTGGCCTCGCCCCACGAGCAGGGGCCACGGGGACAGTGACGCAGCCTGGGCCTCGTACCCGCCCCCGGCACGGGGCTGGCAAGTTCAGCTCTCCCAAGGGCCGCACCAGAACCCCTCAGCCAGACCCTGCGCCCACGGCACGAGGTCTGGAAAGCCGTGGGGCGCTGTCGGCTCCAAAAAAACAAAACCAAACCAAACCAAAACCAAAACCAAAAGCCCAAATCAAATGCAACTGAGCTGCCGAACGGCTCGCTACAGCAAAGCCTCGAGTCCCGGGACGGGCCCGCATCTGGGATTCCTGTCTCCTGGCAGAGCAAGCGTGGGACTCTCAGCGGTCGTGCTGCACAGGCCACAGGCCACAGGTCACAGGCCACAGGCCACAGGCCAGGGCCCCGGCGGGGCAGGACACCACGCTCCCAGAGCCCACGGGCCTTCCGGAACCCGGACTCCACGGGGACAGGCCTGTCTCTCTCACGCACACACACCCAGAGTGCTGCATGTTATTAATTTTGCTGCTGGTTCTTTTTAAGAGACCGCAGCTGGGGCTGCTGCAGGAAATTCCTGAGCATACAGAAATGGGGGTTCAAGAGGCCAAAAAAGCAGAGACGGGGGAGAGACGCTATCGACGTGGAAGTACAGACACACGTATGGAGCCTTCAGGACAACCTTGACCAACAAAAGTCGGACCTTAAAAAGGCTGCGATGCTGTACAGTGTAATGTGGTGTTTTTAAATTACATTGGCCTGAAGCAACCTTTAAAAATATTTGCCAAAAAAAAAACACAAAACCCAAAAAACCCCTAAAAAGAACAGATACTGAAAATATTAAATGACATCCACGTTTGAAAAGTGGCTCCTGTTCGTTTTGTTAAGCCTTGATGTAACACACCAGTTTTCACTTCCGAGGACAACTTACCGTTTTCCGGTTTCCTCCCAGGTCTTCATTTTGTTATTAAGAAGTGGGGAAAACCTAACAGGGGCAAAGGAGACAGCGGAAGCGAGGGATGGCAACAACGGGGCTGGGGACTCGCGGCGAAATGTCGGCACCTGAAATTGGCATCCGCCTGGCCGGGTGGCTCGGCTGGTTGGAGCATCGTCCCGTGCACCCAAATAGGTTGCAGGTTTGATCCCCGGTTGAGGCGCATACAGGAGGCAACCGACCGATATTCCTCTCTCCCCTGCCGCCCCTTCCTCCCTCTAAAACCAGTAAATACATATCCTCAGAAGAGGACGAGAAAACATTTTTGTGAGCGTTCCGACGTCACCCCGGGCCCCTTGCGCACAAGTTCACGGTGGAAGAACCAGAGCACATCAATGCTCCCGTGACTGGGGACAGGCCATGGCGATGCTGGGCTGTACTTTTTTGGGTGGGGGGTGCCCTCACGGGCCTTCAGACAGTGATGGGGCGACTCTAGCCGAGCGGAGCGTGCCACTTACCTGCTTGTAGAGCTCCGTGGATGGCGATGACCGCGACCGCTCGTGCACGTGCTGTAGCCTCTCCTCGGGACCCAGGCCCGCGTCCAGGATGTCATCGGCCGAGTGGTACCGCCCCGCGGCCCTGGCTTCCGGGACCCTCCTCTGCGTCCTCCAAGAGGCCTGGTACTCCGCGAAGGTGCCGAGCCTCTGGGGCGCTTCCGACGCCCCCGGCCTTGCCGCCTTCCTGGGTCCGCCAGCGTTTTCTCCGAAGGAGGTGGCGCGGGCCCTCTCCTGGGGACCCTGGTCCCCACGGGCTCCGGCCCACGGCCTGTCCGACCTCTCCTTCGGGCCTCCGGGGAGTGCGTGCCTCGGGCCGGCCCTCTGTGGAACCGGCCTGCTGGTTTCCTCAAAAAACTTCCACCTGTCGGCGAAGGTCCCCACAGTGTCCTCAGGGTGCGGGCGGGGGCGGCCCCCCGCCGAGAGCCCCACCTCATTCATCTTCTCCGGCTCTGAGTACGACTTCAGTTTCTGCTCCATTGTGAACCGCCTGCGGCCCCCGATCCGGGCCACGTGGGGCACACCCCCTCCGGCCGAGGGCGGCCTGGCAGGGCCTGCCTCGCAGGCGTGCGGCGTGGGTTCTGGGCGGTGGTTCCCGGCCCTGGGTTCTGGTGACCCAGCGTAACGGTCCGCCGGGCTGGGGTCCAGGTCGCGGCGCTTAAACGACGTGGCCCGCAGGACGCGGGCTTGGGCCTCCTTCAGGTGGTCCTTATAGGTGCCCGGGAAGGACGGTTCTGGGGTGGCGGCCCCTCGCCCGCCGCTGGTGTCCCCCTCAGCCTCGTCGGGCCCCGCCAGGGTGACGGTGCTCTTGCTCTTCTGTAGGTTGGCTCGCCGCTGCTGGATCTCGTTCCGCAGGGTGGTGGCGAACCGGTCGCTCCTCCGCGTGGGTTTGCCCACCTGGGCATCAAAGGGCGGGGGCCTCTCGGAGCCCCCCTCCTGGCCGTCTGCCGGCCGCCGGGTCCCCTCCTGGGTCAGCGAGTGCAACATGGGCGTTTTGTGAGCAGAGATCTTGCCGCTTTCCCCACCGGCCCATCGGAGGCCGTCGGCGACTGGCTGAACGCTGGCTCGGTCCCCGTGGCCGCCCCGCTGCAGATCTTCCATCCCCGAGGAGTGGCCCCCGACTCCTCTGTCCCCTGGGGCACCCCTCTCCCCGTGCTGGGGGAGGTGACCGCGGGGTTTCTGGCCGGCCAGGTGTGGGGCGGGACAGTCCAAGGCACCCAGAGGCGAGCCGCAGCGCCAGTGGCCGTCACGGACCTGTGACACCTGAGGGTTGCCCTGCAGCCCCTGTCGCGCGCTCACGGAACGGGAGTGGCTCTGCCGGTCGGTGGCGCCGGGCCACCTGGCCTGAGAGAGGCTGTCGTCCTGCCAGTGCTGGGCGGGAGCCTCCGGACGAGCCCCGGCGAGGGCCCCCGGGCCCTCGTGGAAGAAGGGGCTCTCGTCGCTGTCCTGGCGCGGGTGCTGGCAGCCGTGGCAGGACGGCGGGCAACGCACGTCGCTGCTGGACAGAGAGGCCTGGAGCCGGCTGGGGGCCCCGTGGCAGGCGGACGGCCAGCCGCCGTCCAGCTGCGCCTCCGCGGCACAGCCCGAGCTCCCCGGGCTCCTGCCGTCCCCGGGGCGCGCCGGCCTCCGCGGCGGGTCGGCGGGCTCTGCCCTCCAGTCGCCGCGGGGCTGAGCCCGCATCGGGGCCGCTTCTGAGAACGGAGGGCCCTGCGCCTTCTCGTGGCTCTTGGTGGCCGCGAAGCTATCGCTGCGCAGAGGGGGAGGCGGCGGGGGAGGGGACGCAGGGGCTTTCTTCTTATCAGGGACATACCAGACGGGCCCGAAGCTGGACCTCCCCGACGTGGGCAGCTTGGGCTCGGGCCCGTCCTCCGGCCTGGGGCTGCTGCGGCTGCCGCTGTCACCGGGCACCCTGGGTACAAAGTGCCCCGGCCTGTCCTCCGGGCCCTGAGGGTCCTGCCGGCCGCCGGCCGGCCGCGAGGCCTCCCACAGGCCCACTTTGTAGAGGATGTTCTCCGTGGACGAGGCGTCGGCCTTGGGCAACGTGTGGTCGGGCGTGCTGCAGCTGGTGGAGAAGGAGCCGTAGGCCGAGTCCCGCTTGCCTGGGCCGCCCAGGCGGTCGATGCTGCTGTTGGACTTGGCGGCGGAGAGGCGGCCGGAGGGGTAGGGCTGGGAGGGCGGGTCCAGGCTGTCCACGCTGCCCAGCGAGCTGAAGTGGCCCGAGCCGCGCTGCAGGCTGGTCTGCTCCCACGCGCCCGACAGGTCCTGGGAGGACGCGCTGGGGACGAGAAGAACCACAGGGACAGCGCATTTTAGAGGCGTGTCCACAAAGGGAAGACCGCCACCGCGCGGCGAACGCAGCTGGCCCCCCAGGGGCGCCTCGGTGCCCGGCGGCGACAAGGCTCCCTGGAGGGAGGCGGGGGGGCACCCAGAGGGCCTGGAACGTGACCATGGCCCACCCGGGGTTCTCGCACCTCAAAGGGCGGCAGCACGCGGGCTGCCACCGGGTCCTAAAAGCACCTTCCCGTGCTGGTAGTCCCGTTCGGGACAGCGCTGGGCAACCCGAAGCCCGTGAGCTTCACACGGTTTTTAGGTTTTCTAATGGTTGCGGGTCGGGCGGGCCCTGTGGGATCCAAACAATATTATTTCATGACCCACGGAAATGATAGGAAGTTCCAGTCCCCACGGTCGCAAAGCCAGCCTGGTGGTAACAGTCACTGCTGCTCTGCAGCACGGTGCCAGGCTCCTTGTGAGCGACAGGTGAGGGGCCGAAAAGCGGAAGTTCAGAGCCTCCCAGTCCCAAACCCAGTATTAAAGTAGCAACAGCACACTGTCAACTCACGGCCTGTGCAGCGCCGGGCGGGGGACTCCGGCGACGGACTTTACCGGTGCCACCCAAGGCCGCCGGGCGCAGCTGCCTGACGAAACCCCGCGGTTCCCTGAACACCGCAAATGCAGGGCCTGACTAGGGTGCGGTCTACGGGGAGGACGGGCAAACTCGGGTGCAGCACAAGCACCGCGATCCACGGTTAACTCAGAAATGAACGCCGCCGCGAGGTCGTAACCGGGCAGCGGTGAGGCCTGCAGCTCTCAATGGTGAAACTGTATCCGGGCACGCGAAAGGCTTTCCTTGGAGCTCAACACAGCTGGCACGTTCGTGCTTCAAGGTTCAAACAGAACAAGGCAAACAAGCAAGCAAGCAAGCAAGCCCCCCGCCCCCCCGGGCTCCGGGAGGATGCGGAGGTCCCCGATGAGAACGGAAACCGCGTGAGCAGGAAGAGTAACGGAGTGCAGGGTTCTGGCTCTGCCGCCTGAGGGGGGTGGTTTGCGTTCCCCTCCCTTTCCTGCAGGGACAACCTGGGACCCTTCGCCGAAAGGGAGCCTGTCCTCTCCACCCGCCCACCCACCGTCCTGACCTGACTTTTCCAGGGGCTCCTACGTCCAAGGACATAAACAACGGGGAAGAGCTGCCTGCACGCAGACGTGGCCGCACGCCTGTTTCTCCGCTCTGGAAACCACCCACTGTGGGCGTAACGCAGACCCTAGAACGCGGGGTCGGCTCCCTCAGGAATTACACGGCCCGCTTCCCACTGCGGTTTGCCCACTCGGCTGACTGTGCGGTTTTCAGAAGCGCCCCGGGCTCCCGTGGCCGCCCTCTCCTGCCGCGTTCAGGAGCGCCTGCTGCGTCTGCACACACGGCCCTCACTGCACCTGAGCCCGCTGCAGTTCGGCAGCGGGCGGGTGCCACCAGCCCCAAACGGATCTGGACCTGCGCGTGGGAGCTCCACACACACATGCATGCAGGCACACACGTGTACAGACACGCATGCACATATAGACATACTCCGATGCACACATAACACGTGTGTGCACAATATGCATGCACATTCACAGGCATGCAACAGGAGCAAACAGATACACGTGTGTACAGATGTGTGTGCACTCACACATGCCTAAACAAATGCAGATAACACATGTACAGATGTGCATGCACTAGTATGTGCCTGTACACACATGTATAAACAAATGCACACATTGGTACACGTGGGCAGACATGCATGCACACTCATACATGCACTAACATGCATACGCAAACGCAGGTACACCTGTATACAATGTGTGTGCGCTTGCACATGTACACACGTGTGCATAAACAGATACATGTGTACACCAATCGGCATGCACTCACACGTGTGCACATATGCATAAAGGTGCACCTAGGTGTGTGCGCGCACACACAGACCGCCATACTCATACGTGTGTGCACACAGGCATACACACATGCATGCACAGACATAGAGGTGCGCATGCACACACAGAAGAGGCACAGCATGACTATCGTTGTGACGGTGCTCCTTCTAACAGGACACTAGGGAGGACCCTGGCTACTCCGCTGAGGGGCCAGCGCCCTGTGACGAGCAGCAGCCTCTTGCAGCACCACCGCCCGGGGGACCGTCCCCTGCTCGCCGGGCATTAGCCTTCTCACCCTGATGTGCGGTGCCAGGGAGGCCAGGACACCCAGCAGCTCCTGCCCCCAACCCACGGAGGCCACCTCCTCTGTTTCCCACTTCGTGAGGAGCCACTGGCGGGCCCAAGAGTGGTCACCACCCGGGCCTGGGGGCTCTGAAGCCCCTGGCTTCCCCGCCTCCACAGGGGCACCTGGGGGAGCTTTGGCGCAACACACCTGCTCAACCCACCTCACTCCAGCCTTCCCATCCCCAGGTAAACACCTCCAACGCAGGGTGTGGCTGTGGGCACGGGGTGGCTCCCAACCAGCAGCTCCGCTGGCCCAAGGCCTTCAGCCCCAGGCTGTTGATGCACCCATCAAACCAGGGAAATGCAAAGCCCACTGTCCGTCCTTGCTCTTGGTGCTCCAGGGTTTGTTTCCAAGTTCCGCACCCCTGCCTGTACGGTGCACGGATTTAGAGAGTCCTACCCGCCACGGGGTGTCACTCAATGGCCCATTCTCATTTGCAAAATGACATCAGTGACAGCCAGGCAGACACCGGCGCGAGGGGCGTCAGGGCCGCGCGCAGAGCCTGACGCTGCCCCTGCCAGCGGGAAGCGCGCGCCTACCTGGCGTGGTGGCGGCCGTGCCAGGAGGGGCAGGCGCCGGCGGAGGCCAGCTGACAGGCGGCCGTCTCGGGGTGGCTGTCGGAGAACTTGGTGGCGTGCCAGGAGTGGGGCCTCCAGCTCAGCTCGTTCCTCCTGAAAGAGAGAGCAGGAGACTCAGGGACGTCACGTGCACCCAGCTGCTTCTGCTTGGCTCTGGGCACGGACGCTCTGCGTAAACTTCTCTTACCCCAGAGCAGAGTGCTGATCGCAGACTCCCAGCGCGGAGCCGGCCCTTATTCTTCTAATGTATTCTAGCTACGGAAACCTTGCCCTTCCCTCCCACGCTAACATCGCAGACAGAACCTCCTAGCTTTCCTGTTTCGGCACAGCTTTGCACGGGCCCTGGCCCTCCTTGCGACCAAGCACCAGGGCTGCAGAAAAGCAGGCAGCGTCCCCAGCACGGCTGGGTCCCCGTTTAGACGGCTTCTGTTTATTTACTGACCGGACTAAGTGTGGCTATGTTGCAGTTAACCAAGGTGAGCCGACATACACGGCTCTAAGCCTGTCGGGCTGTCTGGGATGTGAACCACAGGCCCCATCCCGGGGTTCGGGGTGCTCTTGTTCCTCAGGTCCAGCCTGGGGCTTCTGAACGTGGTATGAGCCTGCCCCACCCTTCACGCCTCAGTCCCTACCATCCCATGGGTGGCCTGTTTGTTTTCTGGCCACACCTTCCCAGGTGTGGCAGGTGTGGCCAGGTGTGGCCGTGTGCCCAGGTGGCTCTCCCTCCAGCTGCCGTGGGAACCTAATGGAGCCTGCAGGCACCCAGCACTTCGAGGCGTCAGTTTAGGACGGCAGCATGAGCTTCCCAGTGCCCAGCAGGCAGCCCGAGGGCAGAGCCTCTCCAGGTCCTTCGGGGGGATCACGCCTTCTCCCCAGCCGGCAAGAGCATTAAAGGACATCAGGCAATAAAGGACGTTCGAGGGAAAACCAAAAAGCACTTCGAACGTAAACCGCCTGACAACTCCGGTCATTGACGAGGGAAATACCAATGCGCTGACTTGATAGTTTTCCATGAGCTAAACGGAAAGGGAAACATAAAGCAGACGAACACGTCACACCGCAGAGGTGAAGGGGTGGCAGACCCAAGGCTGGACCTTGTGGCATCTCCCGAGATCCTCGCAAGGAAGGTCCTGGCCACGGGCAGTGCATTCTCAGGCGGCTTTCTCCGCACTAGGATATCCACACCTGCGTTCACCTTCCTTCAGAGTTAGTTAATGAAGGCAATCGGTGAAGCTGGTGGAAACAGAAGGCAAAGGGACGAGACGGCTTGCGGGGAGAAAATGCCTTACAGCTGGGCCAGGGCTGGGGCGACTGATCCGGGGCTGCAGGGGAAATGTCGTTCTTCCCGTTACAAAGCTCACGCACAGACCCATGTGTCTGTTCAAGACGACACCGCGGCCCTGGCCGGGTGGCTCCGTTGGTCCAAGCGTCGTCCCATGTACCAAAAGGCTGTGGGTTCGATCCCCCGTCAGGGCGCATCCAGAAGGCAATGCAAAATAATGTGTTTGTCTCTCACATCCATGTTTGTCTTTCTCCCTTTCTCCGTCTCTAAAAATCAATAAACAGATCCTTGGGTGATGCTTTTTTTAAAAAGTACTTTTATTTATTCATTTTCAGACAGCGGAGAAGGGAGGGAGACAGAGGGAGAGAAACATCCCTGTGTGGTTGCCTCTCACGTGCCCCCCCACCAGGGACCTGCCCCACAGCCCAGGCCTATGCCCTGACTGGGAATCGAACCAGCGACCCCTTGGTTCCCAGGCCAGCGCTCAATCCACTCAGCCACACCAACCAGGTCATTTTTAAAGAATTAAAAAATAATAAATAAAAGAAGGCATCGATCAACAGTTACAGTGCTAATCACAGCTATTTTTTTTTAAAAAAAGAGTCAACAAAGGAAAACCCAACGGGAAGGGTTAGACCTACCAGACATAACTGAGGATGCCACATGCCCTGGGGAACAGTGAAATTTCCCTAAAAGATATGCGTTTTTGTCAACTGCTCTGAACGCCCTAGCACAGAACGAAGGCATCTGGGGACTGGCGAAGACGTCCGCCGCTCTGTGGGCCAAGACCCCTGAGGCCTGAAAGGGCCGGACTTATGCTGAGAAGAGACAGAAGGCCCCTCAGCAAGTGCGGGCCGGTCTCTGTCACCATCCTGTGACATGCGGGAGAGGAAAGCTCCGGGGACAGAGAGGTCTGGTGCCACCTAGCGTTCTCACACACTCATCGCCCCTCGGTCAGTTTCACAGCCGCTGATGTGGCAGGTTTAGGACCCTTCTGTCCCCAACACTGAGGTGTTTCTTCCCACACACACCAGTCGGGTGGCTTTAAACCCCCAGTCCCTGGAGATGCGGGGGCTGGGAGGAGCACACACGTGGGCCACACGACATGCCAGGCGGGGGCGGGGCGGGAGCCCTGCCACGTCACGGAGCTGCGAGCACCGGACAGGAACGGACGCACCGGGCTAGTGCCGCAAACCGCAACGGAACCGGTCATGCCCTCGGTCTGGCCAGGCCAGGCCCTTCCACGGCTGGGAGACACACCCCCGTGGGGACTATCCAAGAGGAATGGATGGATGGATGGATGGATGGATGGACAGGTGCATGAGAGGGAGGGCCACTCCCGAGACAGGCAGACCAAAGGCTGGGGCAGCGGCAGGTCAGTCCCTCCAGCCCCGGAGGGAGGCGAGCACAGCTCGACCCAGACACCAGGTAACGGGACGAGTCCACAGCCACGCCCCTCGGGCACCCGGTCATCTCCGTGTCTCCGTGAGTCTTATTCCAATGGCTGCTGAGGCCTGTAATCTTACTGTCAAAAACAGGGAACACCTAAAAGCTGAGAGGCCCACCCTGGCTGCGCCGTCCAGGCAGTCGGAGCATCCTCCCCGTACGCCGAGGTTGAGGGTGCTACCCCCGGGCGGGGCTCAGCAGATAAATGCCCGCATAAGCAGAACAACAAACAAATGTTTCTCTCTCTCTCTCTTCTCCCCCTCACATCAACAAAAAAGAAATTTCTGAATGAAAACAAATTAAGAGGCCAGTAAGACGACAACAGGGAATCCCCCGTGACTCAGGGACCACCGAGAACACGTCCCTCTGCGAGAACACGTCCCTGTGCGAGAACATGTCCCTCTGCGAGAACACGTCCCTGTGCGCGGTTCCCTCTGGGTGTGTTTCCATGGCGGGCACTGTCCTGCATCCATTGGGGGTCGCCCTCGGCCGGCCGCCCGAGGGCCGTGCGAGCGTCCTCCCAGCCCCTGGCCGCTCTTCCAAAACGCACCCGTTCATCAGCACGGAGGATCCTGTCACCGAATCACCAAAAAGCCACGGCACTGACTGCATGTTAGGTATTCCCGCGTTCCAGGGAAAACGACGCGTTCTCAGGAGGGCGCGCCCGGCACCTCGCCCACAAACGGCACACCAAAGCGAATCTCCATCCACGTCAATTGTCAGAAATAACGGTAAGGGGGTCAAACATACGGTGAGGGAAGATGGGACACTCTGGTCAGTGGGCGCGCGATGCCACAGACAGATGAGCGATCACAGAATTGGACCCTTGACACCGATAAAGTTGAATTAACCCACGTCACCCCCATGCATTTACTGTAAAAACAGGAATCTTCTATGCTAGTCTTTTTTTGTTTTCTGGAAGGACGGGGTTAGATCTCAGATCCGTAACAATGCCAGGGTGACACTCAAGAGTCAAGGACACCCGGTCCAGACGTGAAAATGCGTTTTAAACAAAATTCATTGGAAAGTGTTTCAATGAAATAGGTATCATTCACATAAAGACCAGAGCTTCCCCTCCAAAAAATAAAGATAAAACACCCCACGAGCGCTGGGTTATTCTCCTAGCCTTTTCGAAGGAGGCCGACAGGCACAGCCTCACAAAAGAAACAAGGGCTACATGAGTCCCATGAACCCGGGGGCTATGACAGTCTCCGACCGGCCGGCTGGGAGGCCACGGCGGTGAACAGGGGGGGCGGGGAAGCCTGCCAGGGCTCCGCACAGGGCAATGCAGGGGGGCCCCAGGGCTTAGGGAGGGGAGATGGTGCAGGGGGCCTGGACAGGCCATCTGTCTACTGCCTGAAAGACGGGTGTCCCTGCACCTCGCTCTGGCCAGCTCTCCTCCTCCCTCCAGAGCCTTAGCTGCTGCTCCCGGTTCCCACAGACGGAAGCTCGCGCTCCAGGTCCCTGGGCACCTGGCCCCGGGTTCTCAGGGCGCCCCCGGGCACAGCACCCCAGGCACGGGCTTGGACAGCCGGAAGGCTGGCGCATACCCCTGGTTGTCCAGACACTAGTCCCGCCCTCCCTTTTGCTGCACCATCTCTGGGACTGCCACCGTGCATCTGCCCTTGGGTCTTGAACCTGGCGCAGCCTTGGAAGAAGGGCTCGATGATCTGGTCCTCAGGAAAGACGGCGGGAGGCGAGCATCCTTCCTCCCCTCTGCCGGGCGCCATGCCGCCGGGCCCCGGGGCGCCGGGCGCAGCAGAGGGAGCCTAACCATGTGCCCGCAGTGCTTCTAAGGCACGGGACACACAGGCACACACACAGGGCAGAGCACCGGATAAATCACTCTGTGAATTCAGCCCAAGGCAGCTTCCACCCCAGCAGCCTGTTGGGGGGCTCTCTAAGGCAGAGCGTTTTCCCCCCAACAGTGGTCAGACAGGACGACGCTGTGGGCAGTGCGGTCCTGGATCCAGCCTACAGGCCTATGCAATGGGGGTCACGCAGTCCCTGCCTCGACCCGTAAGGAGAAGTCAAGAGAGATGCCAGTTCCCAAACGACCACGTCATCAGCGGACGCAAGTCATCAACACTGCCTTTCAAACGAGCACGCGGGCCAGCAGCATCCCCACGGGACGAAAGCAGTGGAGTTCCTTGGGCCTCAGGCCCCCTTTAGCAGAAAAGACCGCGTGGAAATGTCACGAGACGGGCCCAGGCAGAATGGGAGCGCAGCCAAGAGATTGTGGTTTGTCCCGTTCACTTTTACACGCTTCCCGTCCAGAAACCTGTTCATGTGAGGAAAAAAGCAGCCAAGACGATCTTACCCGCACCAGCAGCACTAAAAAGGCTTTGTCCAAACCCACGGTGTT